TCGTACCGACACCGATAGTAACGTTTAAGTACGGTAGTAGTTAGGGTACCGGGACCGAAATACACTCTATTTCTACCTACTAGGCGTTCGGTAGTGTTTTCTTATATATATATATATATATATATATATCCAAATTTGGGAACTCATTTGAGAATTATGTAGTATTTAATAAAATCAAAGATATAGGAAATGTTTATATAAGGTTGCAACCATAAAATGTAGAACTAAGGTTGCACCCCAAAAATCTATTGGAAAATGTTGTTTTAATGAGGAAAAAGTCTCTAATTGGTCATCTCGACATCAAGATGTATGAGTGTATGAAAAAAATAAAAGAATTTGAGTGCCAGAAATTGTGCATCTTGCAACATATTATCTACACCGTCCATTTTAAGAATTTTCATATGTTTATAGATCTACATGATTTTAACCTTTATTGGAGTTTAAAAGTATTTAATTAGATATGAAAATAGATTTTCAGATAATTCTAAAAAATGTTTACACCAAAATTACATGACATGATAGAATTTGGTGGTGCAAATATAATTGGATTGTTTAAGGTTGCAACGTTATAGAAACCACACCCAAGGATATATGAAATTGGAAATAATAAATTTCAAGGTTGGTATGTTAGGGTAGACCCTGATGGATCATGGGCGTGGGCACACTTGACAACTCAATGTGCACTCTATTTTCTATTGCCAATGGTATGATAGGGTAGACCCAGATGGATCATGGGCGCGGGCACACTTGACAACTCAACATACAATCCATTTTTCAAGAACGTCGAGATCACGATCTTAAAATTCTGGGAGCAGGGATCTAATTTGTTCAGGAACAACATCTACAATGTTACAGAATGCGTTCCGTGAGATAGTGCGAGCGAGATCCGTGAAGTAGAGGGAGCGGAATCCATTGTGTATGGGATCAAAATCCATGTTTTAGCGAGAGCGAGTTCTGTTGTTAATGGGAGTGAGATCCTTGAAGTAGAGGGAGCGAGATCCCTGAAGTATCGGGAGCGAGCTCCGTTGTGAATATGATTGAGAATCCTAAAAATTGGACCGAGATCCCAAAAAGATAGGAACGGGTTCCAAGCGAGATCCTAGTTCCGGAACGCCGGAGCAAGATTCCGAAGCGGCCTGGTAACTATGGTTGGAACTAGTCGATCATTCAAATTTTGGTACGTGACCTCTGAAGCAATGGGTTTTTTAATGTTTTTTAATATTATTTTTAGATTTTAAGTTTAGTGTTATTTTTGTCTTTTCATTGTAAGGAGTAAGAAGTTTTCTTAGAAGTTTTGATAGTAGGATTAGCATGGTTGGATTGTAATTTTGGGGTGAGTAAGTGAGGAGACAATATCTACTTTTGGTAGGAATTGAGCTTAGGATATGGCATTGCAAATCATCAAGTGCTAATCAAATAAACCCGGGCCTTTTCTTTATGGTTGGGTTTTTAAGATATGTTAGACATGGGAAACGTGATCCATTGAATGCGATGTGGGGCATATTAAATATACTAGTGATATGCATGTACAGTACACGTGTATTAAATATTGGTCGATAAAATATATATTTAATCTTAAATTGGCATATTCGCTTATAGAGAGTTATAGAAAGAGAGATTTTGTTGATCCATATTCACATATGGGCTTCCATTAGAAAATAATTTTTCATATTAAAATTATATTATTTTATAACCCACTTCAAAATTATTATTAGTCATATTAGTAAGGGAAAAGTTTATATAGAGCCAAGGGTTGAAGCAATCAAATTACAGCCTACATTAAAAAATTCACTAGATGAAGTTGTTTTGATGCCTAAATATCCTCAAATTGATCATCTCGACATCAAGATGCATGAACATGAGAGAAAAATGGATTTTAAGTATTAAAAATAGTGTATTTTGCAACGCATTTTTGGACAGTCAATTTTCAAGATTTTCAAGTTTTCATAGATCTGTCAATCTATATTATTTTTTAAGCTTTAAACTTTATGACTAAAGATAAAAATATATTTTAAGGCTATCAAAAATATTTCCAATATT